AGCTGCCAGCCCCTCTCCACCCTGTCCAGCTTCATCAGAACCCAGTCACACACATTCCCTTGACAGGTTGACAAAACCTTTTGAGCTTTTTCATTATACTATATTTTTTTAGATGCACCTGTAATATGGTGGTGGCCATTTTGCATTTTGACATGGCAACCCAATGTTAAATAGTGACCTTTCTTATACCTAGATGCAGTCACACACCAAAAAGGAAGTTGGTACCTCACTTATAGTTTACTTAAGGTCATCCTGCTCACATGCAAGGACCAATGGACGCATGGGCAGAGGTATATCAAATTCCCCCTCCTCGCTCTGCGATGGAGGACAAAAAGACCATCAGATGAGTGATCCTACCTCTGCAGAGACAGCTCTGTAAGATCTGACCTGAAGCTGTGTGCTCACTTATTAAGAGACAAGACTCAGACCAACAGCTTAGTGCATTAATATAATATGAAATAACTCCCTCTGTTCTTGTCAAACTTTCCTTGTTTGTTTATTCAGCTGTTAATAAAGTAAAAGTATTACCCTGTTTTTACAGACTTTTTTTAACTTCCTTGTTGAGTTAGTGTTCAGCTCAGCTTTTGTCAACAGTTTAAAAATAAACCAGGAAGGAGAACTCCTAACCTGTCCTCTGTGGCGCTGCCGCAGTAACTCCTGCCTAAAACCCATTCCAGACACTTCTAATTGGCTGGTATTTATCCAGGAGCCCCGGAGAGCAGAGTGCACGCAGGGCTGTTTTCACATGGGATTAACCCAGGTCCAAACCACAACTCTCTTCACAGAGAAAGGGCCTAACATTCTCACCGCATCATCTGGCAAAAATTGCCTCCCTCTGGCCTGTTTACCCAGTATGACCAGTCCGATTTAGCTCACAGAGTTTGAGCTGCACATCATCTGGCAGGAGATGCAGTTTCACACAAAAATCAGTAACTGAAGCACAATTAACAGGAGGACCTGCTGAGTTTACATTCAAATGTAACTATCAGATTAGCAGACACCTGGATTATCACAGATTACACATTGATCGCAGGACTTTAAAAAGAAATTGTGTGTATCAGGGAACAGATAAGAAGTAGATTTTAGGTTGTTTGCTCAAACTCAAGCAGATCCACCGCAGGTATAATAAGAAGTTGTTGCTACTTTAAACCTGCAACATGCTGAAACAAATTTAGTCTTTGTCTGGACCCGGCAGTGGGAGCCATGAACATTTTACAGAACTGGTTTACTGCTGGTTGAGCAGACTCTGGCCCATGTCCTGGCTCTCTCATGCCATCTATTGGACATTTATAAAACTAAAAAATCAAGAAAAACAGTTACGGTACTTTTTTTACTCATCAATTTTATTAATAATCTAGATTAGTTGTCTTCAATTAAAATTTAAATCCCATTGAACGATAAAGATGCTGTTTACATGTCAATGTTTTTAAGAAGCTCTTAATTTTGTTTCAAAGCTTTAATTGTCTAAATGTGAAATTCAAAAATGATTTATGTGCTTTTAAGCCTGAGTTGTTCAGTCTTGTTTTGTTGACCATGAGGGTGAGTAAATAATCCAGGTTATCTAGTTGTGTTGCTCGACAGTCATTTCCTGTTGTGGATTCTGGAGGATCTGGAAAACCAGGTTCTCAGACCATTGATTTTTTTCTGCTCTCTGCTCAGATTTTACTTAGTAAAATAAATAAAATCTGAGCAGAGAGCAGATCACTGGTTAGATAGTGCAGACGTTTGACACAAAGATGGTTTAACGTTGTGCAGGAACAATGCTTTCTTTGAGCAGGATAGTTTTCTCAGGTTGTACCTCTGCATGGACAAGGGAAGAGAAAGGGACAAGCAGACGGAGGCTGTGGACCAGCCAGCAGAAACTACAAAAGAAATGAGAAAAGGGATGATTGCCTAAAATAAATTAGCCTAAATACTCAAAGTACACACATGCTGAAACACTTTTTCAAATTTGACAACCAACCTGTGCCCAGATAATACTTAACTTGATGCAGATCTAGACGGTAACCCACCATGACATAAGCATCTTACAGACTTGTGAACTCAATACTTTGATGGATTAGAAGCATTAGTCAGGTTTTTAGATGCATTTGTAGGTGTGACCTCTGTAATTCACACAAAGAGAGAAAAACTCAACTTAAAATCCTAAAATACTGAATGTGGTTCTGTATTAGAGAAAATAAAATTCACCATTAATAATGTGACATCCCTAGGAAGAAGGCACCCGTTCATTTTAATGAAACTTTAAGAACTTTACTTCCCACATTCAACAGCTGGTGAAGAAACTGAGATTAAAACTGGGATTTTATTTCAGGATCAGATCTTGTCTATCTTTTGAGGCTAGAAAGTGACTGGTTGATGCTACTTTTATGTCTGTACTGGATTATGGTGACATTTTATACATGCATGCTCCTCTTAACTGTCTTTATTCGCTGGATACTGTTTATCATGGAGTTTTCAGATTTATAACAGGTTTAAAAGTTTTTACACATCATTGCACTTTATACAACTGGGTTGGATGGACGTCCTTGTCCACTCTTAGACTCCGCCATTGGCATATTTGTATTTATAAGGCCATACTAGGACTTCTTCCTTCATATTTGTTGGCCTTTATAAAGAGAAAGTCCACCGGAGGATACTCTCTTCGTTGTGAGAACTGATTTTTACGTTCGGTGCCTAAAGTCTGAACTGAACTTGTAAAGAAATCTTTTCAGTTTTCTGCTCCGGCTTTTTGGAACCAGCTGCAGAAATACATGAACCTAAAGGGCTGTCGCCACTAAATGTTTTTAAGGCTGTTCTTACTGATCTGGAGAAGGAGTCATCTGTAACTGTTTTAACTGGGGAATCTTATAATTTATTTATTTCTGACAGAGTTTTTCTGGTTTTGTTGTGAATGTTCTGTAATCTCTGTGTGCTGCTGCCAGTCTTGGCCAGGATTCTCTTGCAAAAGAGATTTTTAATCTCAGTGGGATTTTCCTGGTCAAATAAAGGTTAAATAAATAAATAAATAAATAAGAAAGTAATAATTCAATGTACAACTGATCACCTTGTGGGTTCACCCTAATTTAACATGCCCCCCAAGATTAACCAACACAAAAGTGGTTTGAACTCAGTTTTACTGACACTGAGACAAACTTGGTGTGGTAGTGATCTATGATTATCCATGACACGGACTCTGAGCTATATATATTGTGTAACATCTTTGCTTTAAAGTTTGGCATTAACTGTTAAAATCATGGTTGTTTGTAAGCTAAATATTTCTTCAAAATTAAAATTAATTTGGTGAAACGCATAGAAACAAGTCAATGGATCTACATGTAAAAGTCTTCAACAACTTCAGACGGCCTCCACAGCTATCTGTCCTAAGCCAACACATAAGTGACTGTAGCTCAGTCAGTAATTTAGATAATTAGCTTAATTCTGATACGGCAGTAGCTGAGGGTCATCCCAAACACATTTTCTGAGTTCTAGTATAAGAAATATTTACGGTGGCCCTGAGGTTTAAACAAACAGTATCTGAAAAAACAGAATTACATTTCCAAAAACGCAGTTACATTAATCCAAACCGGAAGTGGTGTTTTTATTTAGAACTTTATTAACAACATGAAACAGAACAATGTACTGTAACAAGACACAAATACAAACTCTCGTGAAGGGTGTGGGGTCCATGTACCATTCGTTCAGTTTTTAATTGAGTATCAAAAATTTTAAAAACTAAAAACAACTTATTTCATTATTAATTTTCACAAGGGATTCAATAAACACATTCAAGCTTTTTGTATTTTTCACTTTATATTCGCATCAGAAATGAAACGTGTAAAATGCCCCACAACCTCATTTGATCTTGATTTTTATATTTTTATATATTCTGTGACCTGGACAGCATCTTGATGGTCGATACATACAGCACGTGCACACAACAGAGGTACAGCAGCGGGCTAGCCTATGGCCTGTAGAAATGGAGAGCTATGTTTTGTTCAAGCTTAAAGATGAAGATATGACGCTGGAAAAACTCGGATCTTCCAGGTACTTAAGTTTTGTTCATGACACATTTGACAGTTTTACACAACTTTAAAACATCAAGCTGACATGCAACGATTGTATGAGCATCTAAACGATGAAATTAACACGAGGCGAGCCGCCAGATTTTGCAAACTATAAATAAATAGGAGATTTGGCCACTGAGAACCAATTGACAACATGTGCTAGTTAGAAAACATTCAAGTGTACCAGCGATTAGCCATTTTATTTGATGCAGCACAATTGCTAAAATAATAAAGTTTATTCAGTTGTAACTTTGGGCAAATCCTTAGATAAACCTTTGTAATCTGTGCTCAGATTTAATCTGCCAGTCACCACAAATCATGCCTTAATAAACTGGTTGCATGATTTAAATGCAAAGCAATTTTTTTACTATTGATAACAACCTTTAGTTTGTTCTGACTAAAAGTGTTTTTAATATGTTTAGTTTCCCCCGTTGCTGACTAATAAATGAATGACTTTAGTGTCAGTGTACAGTAAAATGCACAACAAAATTAGGAGTACCTTCCAAACAGGAAGTAATAAGTAAACGCAACCGAACTCCATCACACACACTACTATACATACATATATATATATATATATATATAATATATACTATTGAAGCTAGAATAGTGGTAGTTCCAGTGGTCAGGTGTTCTTAACAACTATGAATGCACGTCTGGTAAATGCTGTTCTAATGTGTTGCCATAATGTAATCACAATTGTCAAATACTGTGCTGTAAAAACATAACCTTATTTCATCCAATTTTCAGGTAGTGTGCAGAAGCCCATGCTGCAACAGCATTGCTGCCTGCAGGATCCGCATCGAGCAATGGCAGAAGACACACACACACACACACACAGTCAGTCACCTGTTTTGTGATCTCTAACCTGTTCCTGAGAGTACCGACACCTGCGTGTTTCCCAGTCTTCCGTGGGCAGAAAGTCAGCTGTCAGATTAGAAGTTAGTTCACTACCTTCTCCTCTGGCTTCAAGGTGAGTACACAGCACAGTCGTGTCTTTAATGCATTCTTTTAAACAATGTATTTTAATAGCTCTTCTGTTGTTTTTCAGATGATGCTAAGGAGAATTTTGAGCGTCTTCACTTTTGTTGTCAGTACCTTACACGGTAAGCAAAAATAGCTGTATGCAGATTTTAGGTAGCAAATGACAACAATTAAAATCGTGTCTAATTAATTTTTTTTTTTTATTTACTCACTCTACTTTATTACAACTTGTACCCAGCGTGCACTAACACATACTATATGAAGTATTACAGCAGTGGTCTTAAGTTTACATACACATATGGATTTTGTTGGCATGTTCATTTCAAGTTCTTTTTCTACAAGAGAAACAATAAACAACATATAACTTCTGTTTGTGAGCTGTATCTAAAAGGCTGTGTCAGGAACCAATCACTTTAAATGACTACCAGTTCTGGCATGAAGAGTGGTAAATAAAAAAAGAATAACAATTCATATCTAGCCAAAATTATACCGGAAGCTCATCAATGGATACAAATGTGTGTGGCAGACTTTTTAATCGGATACTGATGAGGGTGTATTCATGTATTTGAACTTATATGCACAAATATGACTGTGTGGATTAAAGAAAATAACAGAAAGTGATACTGGTCGGCTGTGGCTGAGCGGTTAGAGCTGTCGTCCTCCAATGCAAGAGTTGGCAGTTCGAATCCACAAGCAGTCACATGTCGAAGTGTCCCTGGGCAAAACACTGAACCCCTCGTTGCCTCCGATCTGTGTCCCATCAATGTATGAATGTGATCTAAAGCACTGATTAGTCTCTGTGTATGTTGACCTGCATCAAGACTGAGTCATAGACTGATGTGGTAGAGAGAATCTGGTGATTTTTCAAACTAAAACTTTTTTTCCCCTTCTGTGTGGCCTGGTACCCATTGACCCACGGACTGGTACCGGTCCGCGGCCCGGGAGTTGAGGACCACTGGTGTAAAGCACTTTGAGTCTCTCGATAAGATAGAAAGGCGCCATACTGAATAAGTACAGTCCATTTACATCTTCAGTCATCTGTGAATGAAGATTTTGACATAGCTCAAAATCTTCAGGAATTAAAAGGTGTTTCTAGTACAAAGTATCCTGATGCATGCTCAATAATCCAGGTAGAAAAATCCAAAAAAGTTCAATCTGATCCTCTGGACATTCAAAAAAAAAAAATAAAAATATAGAAACGTTTCGTCTCTCATCCAAGATCTAGTACAAAGTAGTTATTATGAAAGTGTAAAAACATGATTACCTTGGATTGAACTCCATTTGAATGAAGAAAGTTTTACTTGGTGAAATCTCCACCTTACAAGCTGCTGAGATCTGCTTTGACGAGCTGGGCTGCTTCAGTGACCATCCACCTTGGGGAGGCACGGCTCAGAGACCTGTGGCTGCTGTACCATGGCAACCTGAGGAGATCGGTACCCAATTCCTCCTATTCACTCAGATGAACCAGTACTACCAGGTAAAAAAGAGAATCTATCATTGTTTTCTTGGTAACAACTTGTATATTGTAGATGAAAAACATGGTTGCATCCAGATTTGTCCACACATCAGTAAAAGGTGAAGGCATATACACAATATGAATCATTATAAACTGGGTCTGTTTAGAGCTTCCTATATAGTCTATTACTATTTGTTTATTCGGGGAGTGGTGGCAGAGGATTTAGAGAAGGTGGGCCTGTAATTGGAAGTCACTGGTTCAACTACTCAAACCTACAACATCAAAATGTGGGTGCTTCACCTATCCCACCTACATTTTGATGTTGTCGGTACTGGGAGTTGAATCGGTGATCTTCCGATCATCCATCCATCTATTATCTTTTACCCGCTTCTTCCATTTGGGGTTGTAGATGAACATATATCTGTGATATATTCATAAATTAAACGGATTCTTTCATTTTTCTGGACTGAATAATATCGTGCATTGAATAATTAAATGTAACGTGAGACGTTAATTTTCTTTGACCCATCAAATGAATGTGGTCATTTATTAACAGAATCAAAGTTTAACATCAAACATTTACATTAATTTGGCAAATTGATTACAATAACACATAGCTTAATTAGCAAGCTTTACAACTAGAAAACCATACGGCCATGATTTCCCTTGCGACTTTAAACCAACAGACATTTCTGAAAATATCTGGATGAATTACTGGCAAGATAGAAGAGTTTTAAAGATGGGAAATTAAGGGAGTTTAAATTGAGAGAGAAGATGGATGAGGGGTTGTTATGTGTCGGTATAAGAACGGCACTCTCCATCCGAACCCAGTTTCGCCCCGGTACGCTTCGGTAGGAAATCGACTCGTTACCTCTCTGAAGATGAATCAGCTGGTACGGAGTTCCATTTAACGCTACCATTTCCAGCGTCTCCGTAGGATGGTTGGGAAATGTCCGGAGTAGTGACGGTACTTAGTGCAGCACACGTTCACCTCTCGGTTGGGCTCACATGAGTTGTGAGTCCGTCAGAGGCTCTACTCAGATGTGGAAGATTCCATAATTCCCACAAGACTCGGAAGAACTGCGGATCATGTCTGGAACCTCCTGTTCTCTCCAGCACTTTTTCTGTTCGGTTCTGCTCTCCGAACTGAACTGCTCTCCCACCGCACTGGCTGGAACTAGCATTCTTCTCAGAACTAGGAAGTGTTGAATCTTTTAAAGAGGTCACTTCCGGTTCATTTGAGAACTTCCTGATTGGTCGATCGACCGAACAGGGGTGTGTTTTAGTGATGTAAGAGGTTATTAAAAGTCAGAAAAACAGAAGAATGTTTTGGAACAGACTGAAAATGTTTTTGAGACAGACAAGAGAAATGTTTAGGCGAGTTGGGAGGAAACAGGTGCCAGCTTCTCTATTTATGTCTGAGAGGATTTAAAAACATGACAATTCGTTCCAACAAACTTGTTTGTGTTTGTCTCCAACCTTGGACCAACTTACACTTGCTCATTTCAGACAGAAAATCAGAAAATGCATACTTACTCTGTAACACATTCTAACTTGATTTCTACTTTGAATGATTAAAAATTCATTAATACTGTTTCACAGTTGATTTAAAATGAGTAGTTCACTTCAACATTTAAAAATGGTTTGAACTAAACACACTTTGATTATCAAGAAAATAGTAATGATAATAAAAAAGAGAGTGTTCTTTCAATTGATCAGTACAGGACACTTAGAAAGTCTCTGGATGAACTTAATTTTGTGTTTCTGGACTCAAATCAATGAAATAACAGTTCTTGTCCCAGAAAGGCCCTCAGGGCCAGATTTGACCTGAGGCTTAGTTCAATACAGGTTCACGGGGGTCGCCGGTGCCCATGTCCAGCAATCACTGTGTGAGGGGCGGGGTACTCCCTGGACATGTCTCCAGTCCATCACAGGGACACATAGAGACAAACAACCATTCCCTCTTTCACTCACACCCAGGGACAATTTAGAGTTACCAATCAGTCTAATATGCATTAGGCTTAGACTTGCGACCCGTCCAGGGTGTACCCCGCCCCTCGCACAGTGATTGCTGGACATGGGCACCGGAGACCCCCGTGACCCAAAATGGACGAAGCGAGTAAAAGATAATGGAGAGATGGATATGTGGGTTTTTTTTTGTCTTTTCTCCAATAGAAAGTACATCTGGACCTACCATTCTATGTTTGTCTGTTTCTCCTTCCTGTCCTCTCAAACCCCAGCCAGTTGAAGTAGATGGCCTCTCGTCCTGAGCATGGTTCTGCTGGAGGTTTCTTCCTTTTAAAAGGGAGTTTTTCTTTCCACTGTTGCCATTGTGCTTGCTCAGGATGGGAGCCTGTGACAAAGTGAAGATTCAACAGAAGCTGTTGGCTTCCTTGGATAGAGAACTTTACTAATTGGCTTTTGTATGTACAGTATGTGAATGTTTTTGTACAGTGCCCTGAGACAATGTCTGCTGTGATCCTGTGCTACTGTATATATATAAGACTCATATGCTTAACGAGCTCAACCACAAGCTGGACGTGATTTCTGAGAATTATAAGCCACTTGCGGTTTCTGGAACTCGTCGGCGTGAAGGATTCAATCTTGGAGAAAGCTAATCGAGCACAGACAAGGCCGAATGTCCATAAATCTGCCTGTTTGGATTTGCCATTGAGTGTACCAGCAGAACTTGAAGGCAGACAGAAAATAGAGTCTGCCTGCCCAAACGATTGTTGTTTATCTGAATTTGGCCTCCCCATTGACCTTGGACAGGCCAACTTATCTCAAATTGCCCCTGGAGTTCTGGTTTTAGAATTGCGCCTCTCAAGGTGGCTGCATGTTGGAGTAGCTCTGTTACTTTCATTCTGAGATATTACTTGAAAACTTTAATTCCTCTTTTTTTTTTTTTTGATGATTATTTCCTCTGGTGTCGGATGCTGTGCAGCTGGAAGGATTTTTACAGAAATATCTTTGCTTTTGGACATTTGTAATGATGCGTAACCATAACAACAAGGTTGTTTCTTACAACTGGGAGCAGTTGATTAACATCTCCAAAGCTCAAATAATATCTCAACTACAGCCTCAAATCCCAAATGAGTTGAAAAGGGGGCGTCGTGGATACAAAGCAGGAGCAAAGAAAAGGGAAAAAGAGAGAAGAATGCAGTTTAAACCATCTCTTCCATCAATCATAATGGGCAATGTGAGATCGCTGGGAAACAAGTTGGATGAACTTCAAGCCCTAACAAGGCCCCATCCAGAGTATCGGGAGTGCAGTGTTATGTGTTTCACTGAGACATGGCTGCAGGATCATATCCCTGACTCCAGCGTTTCTCTGCCAGGCTTTCTGACCATACGAGCAGATAGAGATTTAAAGAGGAGTGGCAAAAGGAAAGGAGGTGGGTTGGCAGTGCTTGTGAACAACAGATGGTGTAATCCTGGACATGTTACTGTGAAGTGTCGTCTTTGCAGTCCAGATATTGAACTGTTAGCCCTAAGTTGTCGTCCATATTATTTGCCAAGAGAGTTCACCAGTGTTATTTTGGCAACTGTTTACATTCAACCAAATGCTGTTGCCGAGACTGCGTGTGATGTCATCAGCTCCGAGGTTGCTAAGCTACAGACACAACACCCTAGTGCGTTGTTGCAATATCTGGTGATTTTAATCATGCCTCTCTCTCTGCTACACTTCCGACATTCCAACAGTTTGTCAGCTGCTCTACCAGAGAAAACAATACGCTGGACTTGTTTTATGCAAATGTGAAGGATTCATACAAAGCTAAAGCAAGACCCCCTCTTGGCAAATCAGATCACAATCTTGTGTTTCTCTGCTCAAAATATAAACCCCTTGTTCAAAGGCAACCTGCAATAAAGATAACAGTGAGAAAATGGTCAACGGAAGCTGAAGAAGCCCTGTGGGGTTGTTTTGAAGCTACAGACTGGGATGCACTGTGCCAGCCACATGGAGAGGACATTAATGCCATGACTGAGTGTGTGACCGACTATATAAACTTCTGTGTAAACAACACCATGTAGTGAACCAGATGACCTGATGATCTGACCCTCATCTGACCCTGATGACCTCAAATCTACCAGATGGACAGAGACTGTTATTTTCATTGATCTGAATAAGTCTGAGCCATCTGATGACTTTCTTTCTTGAATTAATCAAGCAGAAAAGACAATCCTTTATAATCATTACTGTTTTACAAATGTTTGATAATCAAATTGTGTTAGTTTCACTCAATGCTTACAGGTTGAAAAGAACTACTCATTTTTATTTTACATAAACAGTAAGTAATGATTTTTATTCCTCATTCAAAGAAGAAATCACCTGAATATGCATTTCTTGATTTTCTGTCTGAAATGAGCCAAGTCGTAAGTATGTGAAAGTTGAAGCTTCGGTCAACTAAATGTTTACTGAAGAAGAAATGTCATGTTTAACTATTTGAGAAGATAATCAGAATAGAGACTCCACGAAGTCTGCTTTTTGCAATAATCTTTTCTGTATGTTGAAAACAAATTCATTCCCTGACCTCGACTTCTGATAATACCTTACGTCAAAAACCACACCTCTTTCTGGTCCATCCACGAATCAGAAAGCTCTAAAGTAAACCCGGAAGTAAACTCATTTAAAATGTGACAACTTCCCGGTTCTAGTAGAGTGCAGTTAGTTCTCAAGGAGTTCTGAAGAGAATTCATGGGAATTCAGGGAGTGCAGTTAGTTCTCAAGGAGTTCTGAAGAGAATTCATGGGAATTCAGAGAGGGCAGTCGGTTCCAAGAGATTCCAGAGAACTAGAGTTATGGAGAGTTTTGGAGTTAGAGTCTGAGAAGACCTGAAAGAGTCTGAGAGCTGCTGACAATGAAGAGTCAGAGTTGCCGAGAATCCAGAGACGTTTTGGGATTATAATTCTGTTTTGAACTAACCACGCACGACTCTCCAAGGATTTTAGCTGTTCTCAACGGAGACGCTGATATCAGTCTGAAGGATTCTTACTGAGGTGATCTATCGTCAACAAGGTAACGGTTTCTTCTTCGACTAAAGTGTACCTGGGATAAGCTGAGATACCTGATGGGAGCGTGCAATTTTCTGGTCAACAGATATTAATTCCCTCACATATTTCTCTGTAAGATAAATCTCAATTTCCTCTTAAACTCACCTCTCTCTCATAAATCAGTACAGATATTTTTAGAAATATCTGAAGCAAAGTCCTCAAATCACCGCCGAGTGATTTGAAGTTCAATATTTGTGAAACTTGTCTGTTATTATTTTCATATTTTGCCAAATTAATGTAAATGTTTGATGTTAAACTTTGATTCTGAAAATAAATGACTCCATTCATTTGATGGGTCAAAGGTAATAACGTCTCTCGTTCGCATTTCTGTTAAATTCAATGCACGGCATTACACAGTCAGAAAAATGAAGAACTCGTGAATATAGTATGCATATAAACGGGGATATATTGTCATACTACAACAAGTGACACGTACCCACGTGACTCACAACAACCATCCCCACCAGAACAGTGAGATGCTTCCCCAATAACAAACCCTGGATTACCACTGACCTGAAGGAACTGCTAAACCAGAAAAAAAGAGCCTCCAGGGAGGGAGACGGAATTATTGAGGAGCACACAGAAGCAACTAAAAGTCAAGATAAGAAACAGCAAGGAGGTGTACAAGAAGAAGCTGGAGAGCAAGCTCCAACAGAACAATATCAGAGAGGTGTGGTCAGGGATGAAAGAGATCACAGGCTTCAAGCAGAAGGAGGATCAGAAGGATGGAAGCCTGGACAGAGACAATGAACTGAACACATTCTTCAATAGGTTCAGTTCAGGAACAAGCTCAGCATCCTCCTCCTGTTCTCCTCTCTTGCCCACAGCCAAACATACATACCACCCTCCATTGACCCAAGGCTGTCCTGTCACACCTCAAATATTGAATCTACCACCTCAGTCATGGACCCTTCTTCTAGATATTGGTCTTCAACCCAATCAGAAGATGCTGATACCTTCTTTGCTTCCCCCTCTGCATCTCCAGAAGTCAGATGAGGAAGCAGCTGGAGAGACTGAACCGGAATAAGGCTGCAGGTCCAGATGGTGTCAGTCCCAGAGTCCTGAAGGTCTGTGCAGAGCAGCTCTGTGGGGTTCTGCAGCATCTCTTCAACCTTAGCCTGACCCAGCAGAAGGTTCCAGTGTTGTGGAAAACATCATGTATTGTTCCAGTGCCAAAGAAAACTCACCCATCAGTCCTCAATGACTATAGACCTGTTGCCCTGACATCCCACATCATGAATGTCCTAGACAGACATCTGCTGACTCACCTGACTAGACAAACGAGCACATATCAGGACCCACTGCAGTTTGCTTATCAGCGTGGACTTGGAGTTGAAGATGCCATCATACACCTGCTTCAGCAAATCACTGTCATCTAGAAAAGGCAGACAGCACTGTGAGAGTCATGTTCTTTGATTTCTCCAGTGCATTTAACACAATCCAGCCTGATTTGCTTTGTCAGAAACTTCAGAAGACTCAGGTGGAGGCCTCAACAATCGCCTGGATCAAAGACTACCTGACGGACAGACCACAGTTTGTGAGACTGAAGGGTTGTGTGTCTAACCATGTGGTCAGTAGCTCAGGAGCACCACAGGGGACTGTACTCTCACCATTCCTTTTCACTCTGTACACCTCATATTTCCAGTACAAAACAGACTCCTGTCATCTGCAGAAATATTCTGATGACTCTGCAGTGGTCGGGTGTATCAGAGATGGACAAGAAGCTGAGTACAGGAAACTGGTGGACTGCTTTGTGGCATGGTGTGGAAACAATCATCTCATCTTGAGTGTGAACAAAACAAAGGAGATGATTGTAGATTTCAGGAGAACCGGGAACAGGTCCAACCCTATTTCCATCATGGGAGAAGAAGTGGAGGTGGTGGAGAAGTATAAAAACCTTGGAGTTCACCTGGACAATAGACTGGACTGGAAATGCAACAGTGAAGCCATCTACAAGAAGGGACAGAGCAGACTGTACTTCTTGAGGAAGCTGAAGTCCTTCAACGTTTGCAGCAAGATGCTGCATATCTTCTATAAGTCTGTTGTAGAGAGCGCTATCTCTTCTGCCATCATCTGCTGGGGTAGCAGCTCCAGAGCAAGTCACTTAAAAAAGATCAACAAGCTCATAAAGAAGGCTGGCTCAGTTCTGGGGACTCCTCTAGAACCTTTGGAGATGATTGTACAAAGAAGGATTCTTCATAAAGTGAAGAACATTATAGATAACCCTCAGCATGCTCTTCATCAGACTGTCATACAACAACAAAGTGTCTTCAGTCAGAGGCTTCTTCAAATCCATTGTAGGACAGATCGCTACAAGAGATACTTCCTGCCCACAGCCATCAGCATCTATAACAACTCATTAATGAAACCAGGATGATGAGTTACCACAACATATAATTTCCCTCTGGGATTAACAAAGTATTTTTGAATTGAATTGAATTGGAGGATTCGTAAACTAGAAGCTCTGCCTGCCCACCCCCCTCCCTCCCGAGGACATCTGCGGCCTTATCTGAATTGTGACGCTGATAGACACTGTACCATCTTATCAGAACTTTGGAACTTTCTGGAGTGTCCATGGACTGCTCACCGCCTTTGTTGTCCCCTTTGAATAAATGCATATGTCTTTGTCCATTTATTTTGTTTTTTGTGCTGAGGTCATTTCTGATCTACCCTTTCCTCATGTTGTCACTTTCCTTATCTAAAAAGGTGGTGCTGCTCAAGTGGCTGCAGGTTAAGGCTCCAGTTTACTCGCGCATCCTATCAGCCGTGTGGAAACTGTGCGCACTGTCTGCAGACGGTTGAGACTTCATACTCAAGTGTCCACCCTGAGCGGCTGCAGAGCAGCTCTGCAGACAAAGGGCGTTTACCTATAGGACAAATTAAGGTCGCCGATTGGTCATTTGCTGACACGCCAATTGGAGTGATTGATAGGTCATGAAAAAAAATAAAAAAATTAAAATGAGAGCTGGCAGCCCCAGCCACAGTGGTGTTCTGTGTTTATATGTTATTAATACAATTTCTAAAAAAAAAAAACATGTAGCACTGGCCCTGCAGTCCACACAGCAGACCAGCCCACCAGGAAATCTCCAGACCATCCTGCAGCCAGGTGGGCCTGATTTTAATTCACTCGTGACAAATTCCTTCATTTCTCACATTTCAGTCATGGCATCAACAGAGGAGGAGGAAGAGATCACTTGCCTTTTAGCAAAAAACCTAAAGAAATAGGTATTAAATCAGATCAAGGATGAAGAAGGGGAATTTAATACATTGGTGTCATATACAGAACAGTCCGTCGTCGGGCAGTTTATTGTGCGACACCAAGTAAACGTACGCGGTCGTAAAAATTGAGCTTTGCATGGACACGCCCTGCGGGCGTCCGCTTCAACTCTAATCTGGTACGCGAGGACCTCCACGGAACTATGTACGCCCGAGTATACTGGAGGCTTTAGTCTCCCCATGTACAGGTCCTTCTCAAAAAATTAGCATATTGTGATAAAGGTCATTATTTTCCATAATGTAATGATAAAAATTAAACTTTCATATATTTCAGATTCATTGCACACCAACTGAAATATTTCAGGTCTTTAATTGTTTTAATACTGATGATTATGGCATACAGCTCATGAAAACCCAAAATGCCTGTCCCAAAAAATTAGCATATCATGAAAAGGTTCTCTAAACAAGCTATTAACCTAACCATCTGAATCAACAACGTAACTCTAAACACCTGCAAAAGATTCCTGAGGCTTTTAAAAACTCCCAGCCTTGTTCATTACTCAAAACCGCAATCATGGGTAAGACTGCCGACCTGACTGCTGTCCAGAAGGCCATCATTGACACCCTCAAGCAAGAGGGTAAGACACAGAAAGAAATTGCTGAACGAATAGGCTTTTCCCAGAGTGCTGTATCAAGGCACCTCAGTGGGAAGTCTGTGGGAAGGGAAAAGTGTGGCAGAAAATGCTGCACAACTAGAAGAGGTGACCGGACCCTGAGGAGGATTGTGGAGAAGGGCCGATTCCAGACCTTGGGGGACCTGCGGAAGCAGTGGACTGAGTCTGGAGTAGAAACATCCAGAGCCACCGTGCACAGGCGTGTGCAGGAAATGGGCTACAGGTGCCACATTCCCCAGGTCAAGCCACTTTTGAACAAGAGACTGCGTCAGAAGCATCTCGCCTGGGACTGCTGCTGAGTGGTCCAAAGTTATGTTCTCTGATTACAGTAAATTTTGCATTTCCTTTGGAAATCAAAGTCCCAGAGTCTGGAGAAAGAGAGGAGTCACAGAATTCACATTGCTTGAGGTCCAGTGTAAAGTTTCCACAGTCACTGGGTTCGGGTTTTCATGAGCTGTATGGCATAATCATTAGTATTAAAACAATTAAAGACCTGAAATATTTCAGTTGGTGTGCAATGAATCTGAAATATATGAAAGTTTCATTTTTATCATTACATTATGGAAAATAATGACCTTTATCACAATATGCTAATTTTTTGAGAAGGACCTGTATGTCTCTCTTTTGTTAATGCACTTTGGTAGCAGTTCCCGTTTAAAAATGTGCTATACAAACAAATTTGACTTGACTTGACTATGTCAATTAACTGAATTGAATTGAATGGTTATTATTGATTTTTATTGAAATTATCAGGAGATCAAGCCTGATGAAACCATTGAAGCATCTAACTATGGTGGGAAGAGAAAGACTCGCTTTGTCATTCCTGGGTATTTGCTCAAACAAAGTGAAGACTGGCCACAGAGCATGTGTAAGGTAAGAGGGCACTCACATTTAGGAATAACCATCATCCATCCATCCTTCCATCCATCCATCCATCCATCCATCCACCCATCCTTCCATCCATCCATCCATCCATCCATCCATCCATCCATCCATCCATCCATCCATCCATTATCTTTACCTGCCTTTTCCTTTTCGGGTCATGTGGGTCACTGGTGCACATATCCAATAGTCACTGTGCAAGAGGTGGGGGACACCCTGGACAGGTCTCTAGTCCATCAAAAGGACACATAGAGACAAATGAAACAACCACTCACTCTCTCACTCACACCTAGTGACAATTTAAAGTTACTAATCAGCCTAACATGCATGTTTTTGGTCTGTGGGAGGAAACTGGAGTACCCGGAGAAAACCCACGCATGCACGGAGAGAACATGCAAACTCCACCCAGAAAGACCACCAATCAGGATTCGATCCAGCGACCTTCTTGCTGAGAGGCAACAGCTCTACTAGCTGAGCCTCCACACCACCCATATATAGGAATACTTTTTTAAATAAGTCATTCAACCTTTATTTAGACAGATAACTCCCATTGAGCCTCGAGGACTCATTTACAAGAGAGACCTGATTTCGACAAAGAATGATAACAACAATGGACAACAGCGACAACAATAAACAGTTATAAAAAAAGCATACAGATTTTATTTTTGTACAAATAAGATCGCAAAAAAAAGTAACAAAACCAGCTAGATTATAAGGCGAATGTAGAAAACTAAAAACAGGAACATGTCTGCATTGGTCCTTGCCAGAAGTCCAACAGATTCTTAAAGCCAAAATAAACTTTAATAATAACTTTAAAGCCATAATAAAAAAGAAAACTAATTTTGCAAAGACCAACCTCTCTATAATTTGTGATTATCTGCTTGGACAAAGTCACAATTTTAATTATCACAATGAATTTTGTTTCCAAATACAAAATCCAATACATCAAATACTTAAAATAAAAAATAAATAATAAAGACCAAGACCTCTTGATTTTTACATCCGATGACAACAAGGAGACACTTTGCATCATTACCTGGTTTTAATGTTTATTTCTGTTGTTTTCTCTGTTTTTTTTTCTTTTTCTATTCATTCTTGCTTGTCTGATATTGCTTATAAACCCATTGTCTCTCAGGAAACTGAACTACAGATTTTACACTTTACTCCTGACACTTGTAGATTGTGTTTTGGTGGTCTTGTATCTGTCTGTGCACTGCAGGTTCTGGTGCAGAGAGAGAATGTGAACTGCATTGCTGTCGAGTGGAAGAAAGGAGTGAAGACTCGCTACGCTCAGGCTGCCAATAACGCCAGGGTGGTCGCTGCCCAAGTGGCATCCATGATCACATTCCTCATGGTAAATACAGCACTTCACCTGTCACACAATGTCATGCTGTGTTTAGTTTTAATGCACAAAACTTGTTTAAAAAATCTCCTGTATACTGTGGTGCTTGAAAGTTTGGAAACACTTTAGAATTTTCTATTTTTCTGCATCAATATGGCCTAAAATGTCCTAAAACTAGATAAAGAGAACCCATTTAAACAAATGAGACAAAAATATTATACTTGGTCATTTATTTATTGAAGAAAATGATCCAATATTACATATTTGTGCGTGGTAGAAGTATGTGAATCTTTGCTCTCAGTATCTGGTGTGACACCCCCCACCCCGTGCAGCAATAACTGCAACTAAACATTTCTGGTAACTGTTGGTCAGTCCTGCACACCGGCTTGGAGGAACTTTATCCCATTCCTCTGTACAGAACAGCTTCAACTCTGGATGTGGGTGGTTTCCTCACATTAACTGCTGCTTCAGGTCCTTCCACAACATCTGGATTGGATTAAGGTCAGGACTTTGACTTGGCCATTCTAAAAGATGAACTTTATTTTTCTTGAACCATTCTTTGGTAGAACCACGTGTGTGCATAGTGTCATTGTGTTGCTGCGTGACCCACCTTCTCTTGAGATTCAGTCCATGGACAAATGTTCTGATTTTTTTCTGTAGAATTCTCTGATATAATTCAGAATTCATAGTTTCATCAATCATGGCAAACCGTCCTGACCCAGATGCAGCAAAACATGCAAAAAAACACCATAACACCAAACCATCTATATCACCACCAGCATGTTTCACAGATGGAATAAGGTTCTTCTGCAGGAATGCTGAGTTTTCCTTTTTCCAAACATAACTCTTTTCATTATTTTTTTTTTTTTTTAAGTTCTATTTTGGTCTCATCCGTCCACAAAACATTCTTCCAACAGTCTTCTGGTTTGTCCACGTGATCTTTAGAAAACTGCAGATGAGCAGCCATGTTCTTTTTGGAGAGCAGTGTCTTTCTCCTTGAACCCTGCCATGACCACCATTGTTGTTCAGTTCTCCTGATGGTGAACTCATGAACATTAACATCAGTCAATGTGAGAGAGGCCTTCAGTTGTTAGAAGTTACCCTGGGGGTCCTTTGTGACCTCGTCAACTATTCCACGCCTTGCTCTTGAAGTGATCTTTGCTGGTTGACAACTTCTGGGGAGGGTAACTGTCATGATCACATCCTCTGTCTCCTGCCTCGCTCACAGCTCTCATGTCATTTCCGCTCCTGTCAATCAGCCATGCCCCCTCTGCACGTTAGCTCATCAGCCCCGATTCACTGCACCTGTTTCCCGCACTATTTAAGAGCTCCATTCTCACTAGTTCCCTGCAGCGTAATAAAGCTTTTAAAAGCTTACAGAAAAATTTAACAAACGAATACCTTATTGATTATAAAAGAAAAAGAGCAATAACTCGTAAAATTATTAAAGAAGCAAAAAAGGAAACATGGAGAGAATATTGCTCATCAATAGGTTCAGAAATTAAATTACAGAATGTTTGGACAATGTTCAGGAAAATGAATGGGAAAAGAAAAGATGTCAAAGTGCCAGCTTTAATCAGAGGACAAGAAATAGTAATTATAAATAAAGATAAAGCAAATTTACTAGGGGAAACATTTGCAGCAGTACATAGTGGCGTACGTCTTACAGATATTCATAGACAAAAACAAATACAAAAACTTGAAAATTACAAAAATATGATAGGAAAATGTCAAAACTACAATTCAACGTTAGACACAAACATAACCATGGAAGAACTTCAATCAGTATTAAAAGGGACAGGAGACGCAGCTCCAGGAGAAGATCAACTATGCTATGTTATGTTTCATCAAATGCCAGAACTAACATTGAAATTAATATTAACATTATTTAATAAAATATGGACTGAAGGTATAATACCAAATGACTGGAAAAGGGCAATAATACTCCCGTTTAATAAACCTGGGAAAGACAGCACCAATCCAAATAACTATAGACCGATAGCTTTGACTTCTCATCTAAGTAAATGGATGGAGAAAATTATAGTAAACAGATTAGGATATTTCCTTGAACATAAAAAGCTAATGAATGGATATCAGTGTGGTTTTAGAACAGGGAGATCAACAACAGATGCATTGACTAGGGTCAGTAATGACATGGAAAAAACTTTAAAAATGAAGGAGGTAATGATCATAGTTTTTTTTGACATTGAAAAAGCATATGATTCGATGTGGAAAGAAGGACTACTTATAAAAATCAGGCAGATGGGGATTGGTGGAAAACTATATAATTGGATAGCAAATTTTCTGACGGATAGGAAAATAAAAGTTAAGATTGGGAATGAATACTCAAAGGAATTTAATGTAGAGAATGGTATTCCGCAAGGATGTACAATAAGTCCAATATTATTTAATATAATTATTAATGACATATTTTTGGAAACAGATACATGTATCAAATCGGCATTGTATGCAGATGATGGGGCAATTTGGATGAGGGGAAGGAATATAAAACATGTAGTGGGACATATTAAAAAAGCTATTGGAAAAGTGGAAACATGGTCATATGAATGGGGTTTTAAATTTTCGGCTAGCAAGTCATGTTTTATGATAATCACAAATAAGAAAAATGTGGATATAGGACCAATAACTTTATATGGACAACCGCTAGACAGGGTCAAAGAATTTAAATACCTAGGTTTATGGATAGATAGTGCTTATACTTGGAAAACACATGTAGATAACATAGAAACCAAATGTAAAAAAACCATAAATCTATTAAAGGCTGTGGCTGGACATAACTGGGGTGCAGATAGACAGTCGCTACTACACATATATAGGGCACTTATGAGGCCAATAATCGATTATGGAAGTTTCATATATGGAGCAGCAGCTAAAACGACACTAAAAAAAATAGATAGACTACAGAGTAGGGCACTACGTATATGTACAGGAGCAGTGAAAACAACACCAATCAATGCTCTATTAATAGAAACCGGAGAAACACCGCTTGACATGAGAAGAATAAAATTAGCATTAACATATTGGATGAAGATTAAAGGTGACGAAGAAGAGAATGTCACTTCAATTATATTTCAGAACTGTTGGGAATACACAAAATTCCAGAGGAATGGTTTTGGTTGGATGATCAGTGACTGGATCAAACTATATGGAGTAGAGGATAATAAAATAGGTAAAACCAACCCAATTTCTGTTATTCCTCCTTGGCTCTTTCCTAAGATAAATATAGATATAGGAATACTTAAAAAGAAAAATAATTGGAATTTGAATGAAGTAGGGGTAAAAACTGATGATTATTTAAGAGAATCATATTATAACTATCTCAAAATCTATACCGATGGATCAAAAAATCTTAAAGGATGTGTGGAAATAGGGATATATGTACCTGAGTTTAAAATTCACATATCTAAAAGAATATCGGACCACCTTTCCGTTTTCACAGCTGAAATGATGGCAATTACATTGAGTTTAATGTGGGTGGAAGAGGTTAGACCAGAAAGGGTTGTACTATGCACAGACTCGAAAGCAGTTTTGGAAAGTATCACGGGGAAAGGAAACAATAGGAAAGACTTAATATTAGAAATTAAACACAGTTTATTTAGATTGTACAGAGGTGGCATTGATGTCTGGTTCTGCTGGGTACCAGCTCATGAAGGGGTAAAAGGAAATGAGAAGGCAGATACATTAGCAAAAAGGGCTTTAGAAAAGACAATAACAATTACAATTCCTATAGGGAAAGGAGAAGGAAAATCACTGATAAAGGATAAAGAAAAAGAACAATGGCAAAAAAGGTGGACTGAAGATAAGAAAGGAAGAAGTCTATATAAAATCCAAAAGTCAATAGCAATTAAGAATATTAATATGAAAAATAGAAGGGAAGAAATCACAATGACCAGATTAAGAGTAAGTCATACATACTTAAATGATGTTTTATTTAGAATAGGGAAGAAAAATACTGATAAATGTGAAAAATGTGGAGAGAAAGAAACTGTAGAACACGTATTGATGCACTGTAAAACATATGAATCTGAAAGAGAGATACTGAAAAGAATGGTTGAAAAGACAGGTCAAGACTGGAGTCTTAAAGGACTGTTAGGAACTGAGGGAAACATAACGGATATATATAAAATAAGGAAAGCGATAATTTTATATCTTAAAAATACAAGACTAATTAATAGAATTTGATAGATGTAGAGAACTGTTGTTACACACTCATGTACAGTAGGTGGCGGAATGCACCTTACAGTTGTTTGCGATCCGCCATTAACGAAATGAAGAAGAAGTAGTTCCCTGCAGGATTATTATACCTCTCGTGGTCCCTTATATCCAGCCATGCTGTTTTCAAGTTCATACCTGATGATCACGCCTTGATATACAGATTTTAACCTCACACCTGCCTCTTCAATTAATCGCTCTTCCCACCGCTCATCTGATTCTGCTCTGCTCATCTGACCCTGGTACAACTAGGTTTTCTGCTTCACAGATTTTGGATTTACAAATTGCCCTTTGGATTTATTATTGGAACTCTGACTACCTGTGTATGACCCTCGCTTGTGTTTCTGGACTTTGTTCATGGATTTCCCCCTCCGACCAACCTCTCCCCAGCTCTGCCTTGCAGCTGCATCTCACTCTTTTATGGTGATGTCATCCTGTCATACTCCAATGGGTGGCTCCCACCTGTCAGCCTAAGAAACTCTGACAGGTGGGTCACTCCCCCTGCCTGTAAAGTCGTGTTCTCACAGTTTGATTTCGACTTCCCTCCTGCACCCGCTAAATAAATAAACTGTTCTTGTTTTTACTCTTGTTGTCTGGCTGTTTCTGAATGCAAAAACCCTGGTTTTCTGACAGTAACAATGGTCTTGAATTTCCTCAATTTGTACACAATCTGTCTGACTGTGGATTGGTGGAGTCCAAACTCTTTACCGATGGTTTTGTAACCTTTTCCATCCTGATGAGCATCAACAACTCTTTTTCTGAGGTCCTCAGGAATCTCCTTTGTTCCTGTCATGATCCACTTTCACAAACATGTTGTGAAGAGCAGACTTTGATAGATCCTGTTCTTTAAATCAAACAGGGTGCCCACTGATCATCATCCCATTGATTGGAAACACCTGACTCTAATTTCACCTTCAAATTAACAGCTAATCCTAGAGATTCACATACTTTTACCACTCACAAATATGCAATATTGGATCATTGTCCTCAGTAAAAAAATTCCCAAGTATAATATTTTTGTCTCATTTGTTTAACTGGGTTCTCTTTGTCTACTTGTAGGACTTGTGTGAAAATCTGATGTTTTAGGTCTTATTCATGCAGAAATGTGATACATTTGAAAGTCTTCACAAACTTTCAGGCACCACTGTACATTTACAGATTCAAATGTATGTTTAATCAAACAACACTGATACATCTCAACAATTTTCAGTCAGGTCACCTGGACAGTTCCTTTTCTTTTCTTTTTTTTTTTTTTTTTTTGGTGCTGAAACATTTCACCTTCTTCTTCTTCGTCTTGTTTTATGGCGGTTGGCAAACAACTTTAAGGTGCATTACCGCCACCTTCCAGGTTGGAGTATGGATCAAAAAGCTTATATTCTCTTCATAATACCTGTTCTTCTAAGAAAATTTAAAATACTATCAAAAACTATATCCCCTGATGATCTCTGAAATAATTCTCTTATAATCAATTTGGTTTTATTACTACTAAGCTCTCTAACTAGCATCTCTCTTTCCCGTATATATTTATTGCACTCTAAGAAAATATGTTGTACTGTTTCTAACTTTCCACAATAACTACAACACCCTGTATTATGCTTATTAATTAACTTAATAGTACTATTTAGTCCCATATGTCCAAACCTAATTCTAGAAATAACATCTTCTTCACTTTTATTTCTGTTTCCTTTCCTAAATTCCCCAACTTTGTTTTGAATACTATAATAAAACCTTGCTTTGTCTCCTTTATCCCATTGCTCTTGCCATTTTCCTTTGATATACTCCTTTATAATGCTCTTTATCTCATTTTTACTTATCTTGATATTCAATTCAACAATTTCCTTTCTTGAAGCTCTCTTAGCAAAACCATCAGCCAACTCATTTCCTATCACTCCAATGTGGGCAGGAATCCAACACAACTTAACCCGAGAACCCTTATTTTTAATTCTAAAAATTGAATGAACTATATCAAATATAATATCTTGTCTTGATTCTGAATTTACCTCTTGAATACTAATTAACGCGCTACTAGAATCTGAGCAAATCAAAATCTTTCTTTTCTCCATTTCCTCTACCCATTCTAAAGCCATTAAAATTGCCATTAACTCACCTGTGTATACTGTCAATTTAACATTTATTCTTTTACTTTTCATAAAGTTTAAGTCTGGAGCAATAAATGATATACCTACTCGATTGTTTATCATTTTTGAGGCATCTGTATATATTTGAATATATTCTGAATATTCTTTTTGTATATAACTCTCCACTTCATTTTTCCTCAATTGTCTTCCTTTTTCCAATAATTTTAAATTAACTTCAACCTGTTCAAAAATCCATAGCGGAATATCAGGATTAACAACCACTGGACTAATCATATATTTATCAATCCCAATATCCTTTACTTTATTTAAAATTATCCATCCAAAACTATTAATTTGTTTCTTTTCCTTTTCTTGACAAGGTTGCAACGTAGCATATGGAGGATGCCCCTCATTATGTCCTTTTATAGTTGTCCAATAATTTAATGCTAATTGTTCCCTCCTGAGCTCCAGTGGCATCTCACCCATCTCAACCTGTAGAGCTGAAACTGGAGTTGATTTCATTGCTCCGCAACAAAGCCTTAATGCCTGATACTGTATTTTATCTATTTTTGCCAATAAACTATTTGAAGCTGAATTATACAAAATACAACCATAGTCAAAAATTGACCGAATTAGTCCGATATAGATTGTCTTTAATGCTTTCCTGTCTGCTCCCCATTCTCTACCTCTCAAACATCTTATAATATTTAAAATGTTCTTACTTCTTTCCACTATTTTATCTATATGTATTTTCCATGTGAGTTTTTTATCAAACCACATACCCAAATATTTAATTTGATCTTTCCGTTCTATAGTATTCCCATATAATTTAAGATCAACATTAATATTTACCTTCCTATTTGTAAAAAGCACAACTTTAGATTTAGATGTTGAGAACCTAAATCCCCATTCTAAAGCCCAATCTTCTACCTTACTTAATCCTTCCTGTAATTTCCTACTTATAAATTCAATGTTCTTTCCCCTCTTCCAAATGATGCCATCGTCAGCAAATAATGAAACACCAAAAGATTTATCTATATTACTAAAGATATCATTTATCATTATAATAAATAGTATAGGACTTATAATACTACCTTGTGGAGTACCATTTTCAACTTGATATCCGGAACTAATTTCCCCACCTACTTTAACATTTCACCTTCCATCCAGAAGGCTTCATCAATCAAGGAAACACACAACACAAAACTGATTATTCCCCCAACAGCTTACTCCAAAGTGGAACAAACCAGTTATGTTGGTGCTAAAATGGTGCTAAGATTAGCAGCAACATAACTGGTTTGTTCCACTTTGGAGAAAGCTGGAGGGGTACTGCCCCCACTGACCCCATATTTGCTCATTTTAAAGTTTTTATGTATTTATTTATATTTACAAATTGTTTTAGAATTTGCTTTTCATTTATACAGAGTGGACATGCAAAATGCTGTCATTGGATTTGCTGTGGGGTTTTGAGGATTTTTATGAATAAGAAATGGAAAAAGCAATCGGGTACCCAGGCCGATCAGGCTTGTCAGTTATTTTCTGCCTGTTTAGTATGCAGTGCATTACAGTAGAAACTGTTGTAACCAGAAAAGTACTAGTTGATACTGAAGACATCACATAATGTATTATACAGTATATTTAACCATAAACGTTGACTATTACCAATAAGAGGATATTCTCATCTACTGTACACGCAGTGTCTAAAGAGCAAACTGTATGTGTGTATTTGTCGTTGACGTGTTGTGTCATGCAGGGCCACTACGAACAGACCGCTGATAAGTTTCACATTATCGGGCACAGCCTGGGAGCTCACATTGCAGGAGAGGCTGGGAACAGGATCCCTGGTCTGGCAAGAATCTCAGGTGAGCCTACGTTGTTTTGAACAAATCATTTTTCTTTCAAATAATGAAACAAAAACATTCTTGTTCGAAACATGTTTAAATAATCACATCTTGTAGTTATATTAGTAGTTATTGTTATGTTTTTGTATTGTATGTTACTTTTTATTTGACTACAATATGCTGAATGTGTTTGCCTAAAGGTCTGGACCCAGCTGAACCATACTTTGAAGGCACTGATGCCTCTGTGCGTCTGGACACCAGTGATGCAACATTTGTTGATGTCATCCACACAGATGGACTTCCTTTCAACTCCAAACTCGGTGCAAAGAATCACATATATACATATTTAGGTCTGCGCCTTTTTTAAACAGCATATGTTTAAATAGTGGTGTGGTTTCCGTCAGGTCTGGGGATGACAGAGTCTGTGGGTCACATTGACTTTTATCCAAACGGAGGAGAACTGATGCCCGGCTGCTCTGCCAACAATGGACGTCCAACTGATCTTGACTCCATCTGGGAGGGTGAGATTTACTTACCCGTACAATCAGATTGATTTGGGGTGGAACAGGAGCTTGTGTCGTGAGATCTTTAGATTCTTTATCGAGTTGAAAACAGTTTTATGCACCAAAAACAACAACAAAAAAAACATTGGTTACGTACTGTAACCCCAGATTCTATGAGTATAGGTGCAGCCCTTTAAGGCTATCGCTAGTGGGTTTATCCCTTCACGTGCAGCACTGAAAACTTTAGTCTGCGCCCATCGGCTGTGTGGGCTCCACCCCCGGTCTGTATAAATTACGGTGAGACCGGGCAATCGGCTCCCAAATAGCTTTTTTTTCTTTCAGCCATTTAGGAACCAGTGAGGCCCAGAGCTTAAAGGGCTGCGCCTATACTCATAGAATCTGGGGTTACAGTACGTAACCAACGTTCTATTTTGTATAGGCTTTGCCCTTTAAGGCTATCGCTAGTGGGTTAAAGGCAAAGCAGGATGTAGTCTATGCCTCACTGGGACCATTCAGACACAAACATGAAGCACCTGTTTGCAAATAAAAACATTTCATTACCCAGCCTTCAAAATAAACTGTCCAGATGACCTGACTGAAAATTGTTGGATTTCAGTGAGATTGTTTACATTTCTCCAGATGCTTATGCTAAGGACACTCTGCATGAGCTCCATGATCTCCTCAGCTCGCTGCAGAACAAACACCCCGAGGCTCTTTACATAGTGGGCGGAGACTTTAATCACATGAATCTAAAAGACTGCCTCCCAAGTTTTTACCAGCATGTGGGCATACCAACACGTGGAAACAACACTCTGGATTGTGTTTACACAAATACAAAAGATGCATACAAAGCCGAACCCCGCCCCCACCTAGGATTCTCTGATCACATCTTAATCTTAATGGCTCCTGCTTACCTTCCCCCACTGAGAAGCTCCAGAACAGTACAAAAGAAAGTTAAATGTTGGATCCAGGACAGTGGCCCCATACTGAGAGATTGTTTTGATCGAACAGACTGGCAGGTTTTCAGAGGAGCTGCTGAAAATGGAGGATCGCTTGATCTGGACCAATACACATCCTCAGTTCTGGGTTACATTAGTACATGTACCGACAATGTCTCTACCATAAGATTTGTTAAAAGTTACCCGAACAGAAAACCTTGGCTGAATGCAGAGGTGCGCACCCTGCTAGAAGCCAGGAACACTGCATTCAGGTCTGGAAACTCGCAGGAGCTGAGAAGGACAAGGAAAGAGCTGGTTGCTGGTATTAAGAGGGCCAAGGCTACATATGCACAGAGGATCGAGGGTCAATTCACCTCACAAGACCCTTGGAGCATGTGGAGGGGCATTAAGTGCTTAACAGATTACAAAGGCAGGAGCGAACAATGGCCCAAATACCCATCTCTGCCTGATGCCCTCAACAAGTTCTATGCACACTTTGAAGACCCAATCAGACCACCCAGCACCAGACTCACCTGACCACGGAATGAAGAGCTTCTCAGTGTGACCTCAGCAGAAGTAAGGAGCACTTTCAGGAGGATTAATCCACACAAGGCAACCAGCCCAGACAACATCCCCGGAAAAGTGTTGAAAGAATGTGCCAATCAGCTCTGTGACGTGCTGGCAGACATCTTTAACACCTCACTTACCCTGGAGACAGTTCCCATCTGCCTGAAGACTGCCACCACCATCCCAGTCCCAAAACGCTCTACACTGACTGGTCTGAATGACTATCGGCCAGTGGCCCTCACACCGATAGTTGCTAAATGCTTCAAAAAACTGGTCATGACCCACATCAAAACAACCATCAACATCAACGAGGACCCTCATCAGTATGCATACTGCGAGAACCGATCAACAGAGGATGCCATCTCCTCTGTGGTCCACACTGCTCTCAACCACCTGGAGCAGACTCTTACATCCGTATGCTCTTTGTGCACTTCACATCTGCCTTCAATACCATGATCCCCCAAACACTGATGGACAAACTATTCACACTAGGACTAAGCCCCTCCATTTGCAGCTGGGTACTAGACTTCTTAACAAACAGACCACAGTCAGTGAGGATCCACAACTTCTCCTCCTCCACCATAACCCTCAGCACAGGCTCTCCTCAAGGATGTGTGTTGAGCCCTCTACTGTTTACTCTGCTCATGTATGATTGTGCAGCTACCCATCTAGGCTGTCACATTGTAAAGTTTACAGATGATACAGCGGTGGTGGGATGCGTCACAAACAATGATGAATCCAGCTACAGGCAGGAGGTGGAACACCTGGAGAGCTGGTGCAAAGAGAATAACCTTCACATCAATGTGAAAAAGACAAAGGAGATGATTGTGGACTTCAGAAGGAACAAACATACCTATACCCCCCTGAACATAAGGGGATCTGCGGTGGAAGTGGTCTCCAGCTACAAGTACTTGGGTGTGCACATGAATGACAACCTCAGCTGGAGCAACAGCATTTCCAGCCTGATCAAGAAAGCTCATCAGAGACTCTACTTCCTCAGGCAGTTGAGACGAGCTGGACTAGGAAGCTCATTCCTCACCTCCTTCTACAGGTGTGCAGTGGAGACCATCCTGTGCTCCAGCATCAACGTGTGGCATGGAGGCTGCACAGCTGCAGAAAGGAAAGCTTTGCAGAGAGTGGTGAAGGCTGCACAGAAGTATGTTGGAGTCAGTCTCCCCACCATCACAGACATTTACACCTCTAGACGCAGGAAGAGGGCCACCTGCATCATGAAGGACCCCCCTCACCTAGCACACACACTTTTTGCCCGCTCCCCTCAGGAAGTAGGTTGAGGAGCATTAAGTGTAGAACCACTAGACTGAGGAACAGCTTCTAACCTGAGGCTGTTAGACTCATTAATATCTAACCAGAATAATCACTGTGAAAAATCACATCATGTTGCTGCTGATCTGTTCCAATGTTGATGTGTTGATATGTGCTCATCTGCTCACACAGACTCATGCTCATGTTGTGCTGCTGTTTGACGTAATGTTTTTATGCTATTAGTGCTTAGTGTATTTTTAGTTTGTTTATCTTAGTTCATATCTTAGATGTTATCATTGTTTTTCTTTTACATTTTATTGTTGGATGTAACTGGGACCCTGTGTACATAATTTCGTTCCACCACGTGTAGTGCGAACGACAATAAAGAATCTCTGACTCTGACTCTCTGACATAGAGACAAATGAGACAAACAACAATTTACTCTCTCACTCACACCTAGAGACAATTTAGAGTTACCAATCAGCCTAACATGCATGTTTTTGGTATGTGGGAGGAAACCGAAGTACCCGGAGAAAACCCACGCATGCACAGAGAGAACATGCAAACTCCATCCAGAAAGCACCCTGGACCAGGATTTGAACCGCAACGACCTGCTCTCTGAGAGAGGGCAGCTCTACCAACTGTGCTACTGTGCTGCCCTATATACTCATTGCACACCCCATGGTGTCTCTGAGCAGGACACCCCTTCCACTGCTCTGCCTGGTGGTGGATGGGTTAAATGCAGAGAGCCAATTTCGTCGTTGTATGGGAACATACAATGATGACAATACATAGGCCTATGCATTATTATTATTATTGTTATTATTATTATTATTATTATTATATATTAGAGCTGTCAATCGATTAAAAATTTTAATCAGATGAATCACAGTCTGGGGCTTTGATTCATCTGATTAATCACTATGCTTAACTTTGTAATCTTGAAATGTAAATATGCAGGTTTTGTTAAATGCTGAAGAAAATGTTTTATTGTCTCAAACCCAACAGTTTTCCAGGTTTTCATACTCAGCAAGGTTTACAGAAGTCATTTTGTTTCAAACATAAATGTTTGCTCAAATGTCTCATTAAGTGCCCGATTAAGCCCGATTTTTAACTGGTACAGGCCATAGAGAGCACATTACTCCAGTTTTGGCCTCCCTGCACTGGCTACCCATTCACCTTCAGATCCAGTTCAAAATACTCATGTATGTTTTTAAATCACTGAACAGTTCTGCCCCATCCTATCTCACTGATCTTCTACAGCCATATGTCCCACCACGCTCTCTGAGGTCAGCAGACCAGAGGCTCCTTTCAGTTCCAGGAACCCGTCGTCAGCTCAGAGGTGACAGGACTTTCTCTGTTGCAGGTCCAAGACTGTGGAATGAGTTGCCACTGCGTGTCAGGCAGACTCCCACACTCACAGTCTTTAAGTCTTGCCTGAAAACCCACTTTCATTCCTTTGCCTTTGACACGGTGTGATTTGTTTTGATCCTGTCTGTAGTCTACAGTGTTGGCCATTTAGTTATTATCCACTGCTATTTGTATCTATATTTTTATTTTATGTTTTCCTGTCTGCTGTGCTTGTTTGTTTCTATTGTACAGCACTTTGGTTGACCTTGTTGCTGTTTTAAGTGCTCTATAAATAAATCGGTATGGTATGGTAACTGTCATTTATGTGATCAAAACATCTAAATAAACAGTATAGTAATGGCTTAATCTGCATTATGTAATATTAAGAAGTTAATCTTTTTGAATTTATCACATGCGTTAACACGTTAACGCTTACAGCCCTAAAATATATACTATATACAGTATATAAGTAGCGGTATATAGTCAAAAGTTACATTTATAGTTGTGTATGAATATTTTAGGACCTGCCCTGTGATGGACTTGCGACATGTCCAGGGTGTCCCTCGCCTCTCACACAGTAACTGCTGGATATGGACACCAGTGACCCCCCACGACCCAGAAAGGTCAAAGGGCAAAGGGGGTAAAAATAGACGAATGAATGGACGGATGGATTTTAATATCTGAAAACAAGTGAAAAAATTTTCAAAAACATATTAAAAAAACACAATTGGTCCTAGATCAGGCTTTGGGTTTTGTCCCCTTGTGTAAATAAGTTTGATTCAGGAAGTGACACAGCTCTAATGAGATGTTTGGTCTTGTTTCGAGTACTTTCTAAGTTCTGAAAAAAGTCATGGGAAATCAGACAGGAGAGAAGTCAGTCATTGGAATTTGTTGCAAAATCTTTCCCTCAGATTTTGTTAATAGCTCGTCTCTTATATTACAAGTGTTCCATTACAGCCCTAATATTGGTCATAATCTGATACAACTGACTTCACACTTGTCTTGGTTAGCTGCTCTATGTACTGTAGCATATTTTATCCATTGTGCCTAAAGTTCTATTTAAATATAAATTTTAGTTTATTGTGTTTGTGACTTGTAGGATTTCTTCCAAGTCAGCACCCATTTGTCTCCATTCACACTTAGGTAAAACTAAAAAGTTAACATCAGCATCCACTGATGCCTCTAGTCATCTGTTTTCTGATTGGTCTCAAGCCACAGTGGAGCCAAAGTTTCTATTAATGAGTTAGAATAAACTATTTATTCTAGGGCTGTTAATGCCTTGATATAAGGGCATGCTGTGACCTTTGACCACTTCATATATCAAGTGTTCTCAAGTTGACATGTGGCTTCATCACAGTCATTGTTGCCGCACATGACACAATGACTCATGCACGCTATTTTCTCCAACCATGCAATTCAACAATGCAGAGCGAGTGGACTGTGGAATATTGGAGTTGTCCCAATGGAAAAAAAAGAAAACGTAAAGAAAACCCCGGGCCGAGATCTCCTGGCCAGACCCATCTGAGCAGATATTTTTCGAAAATGGATAGCGGCATCCTTCTTGTGAAATATGCTGCTGAGTTGTACGGATCAAGTGGCAGCCCTGGTGCCATGCCGGGGCCTGGATGGGAGGAGGGATGGTGTGTTGTCACAGCTGAATCGGACACTTTTGATCTGATAGATAAGAGAGGGAGAAAGGGAGGCAGGGCAGCATAGCTGGAGGTCCTGGAATGCCTCTTGAAGTTGGAGAGAAAACAAAAAGCAGCCATGACTCTTTTCAGTGTCCGTCTTTTCCCAACCGGATCAGATTGGTTCTCCAATTTCTTTCAAGAATCTACAACGTTGATCAGACCTCACTTTTTTGAGCAGATCAGAACATATACATTGAATTGTGTAAAGAAAACTTAATAAATGATGTAAAGTTAAAGTACAACCAGTGTCCCCAGAAAAAGTGTTAAAAGTTATTTAAAAGTAGTTGTGTCACAATTCAGGGTTGCTCATTGTGAGGTTACCTGCTTAATTCCTCTTAGGTGTTATTTTTCCCTTGTTTATACCATCAGCATATACAATCATTTGACAAAACGCAACCCATGAATCATATTATATTAAGTATAGTTCTAATTTCTTGAGCTGATTTGTCCAAGAGGGTGAGGTACAAAGTAGAATAAGTTAAAGGACTAGTGATTATGTGTCAAACTAATTTTCTCTAGATTAAAGTGTGTGGAAAAGCACATCAGTTCAATTCAGTTTATTTATATAGCACCAAATCACAACAAAGTTGTCTCAGGGCACTTTATAGGAACATTCACATACATCGAAAAGCCAGTTAGTAAAGTTCTCTATCTAATGAAGCAGCAGACGTGTTGGATCTTCACTTCGTTGCAGTCTCCCATCCTGAGCAAGCACAGTGGCAACAGTGGAAAGAAAAACTCCCTTTTAAAAAGGAAGAAACCTCCAACAGAACCAGGCTCAGGACAAGCAGCCATCTGCTTTGACCAGTTGAGTTTGAGAGGACAGGAAGGAGAGACAAATGAACACAGAATGCCAGGTCCAGATGTAGCTCCACGTGTACCTGAAAGACAAAAACACATCAGGTCATGTTAACTAACTTTCTAACTATATAATCATGACCAAAATATTTGACAGTGACACAAGTATTAGCAGCTGTAACAATGTCTTGAGTACTACATGATGAGTATTACTCTTCAGTACAGTAATAAAATATACTCTCCAATAATTATCTGTTAAAATTTCTGGCACATGACAAAACTAAATAGCCTGTCCTGCGAGTCCGAGCTTTACTTGCTGTAAACTGTTACTTTTCTAACTTCCTAGCAGCTAGCTGTACTGTAGCGCTAACCCTAAATTGCACCAAAAAGTGTTTTTAGATAATCAACATGTTTCTATCTTTAGTTGTATAAAAGTGAGGCCATGTTATTTTGTTTGCAGATGATATCATATTGTATTTTTGCAACATGTGTGTGAACCTGCACTGAAAATCCCACCCATTTGCATGCAGACAATTATCAAACAAGTTACAGTGAGATAAAAAAAAAATAATTATATTTGAACATACAGCAGCACTGCATCATGTTCTAAATTATGTTGAACCCACGTGCAGGCAGAGGCAAAAGACTTGGAGATAAAACTAAAGAATTAATGTATTCTTACAAAAACAAAAGCAAAAGCTGACGCGGCAGCAAAACTTACATGAAAGGAGACGATGGAAAGGGAAACAGAACATGAACAGCTTGTGAGCACAGTCCACAGACAACAAAAAGGTGCAAAGACGCTGAATAAATACAGACACTAACGAGACATGATGACTCACACCTGGGGTGGTTGGGATTGGAGACAGGTGTGACAGGAGCTGAACAACAAGGAGGGGAGACACTGGGGAGTGCAGGAAACACGAGGGTTACAGAAAAGACTGGACAAAACACAGAATCCCACCCACTGTAAGAACAATGTGACTCAACAGAAGTCAACACATGTGATCTGAGGTATAAATATATGGTTGTTCTTTGGAAAATGCTACATTCATTTATGAACATAGAATTAAAAACTTATACTTCAGCCAACCACCAGGGGCTGATCGTTTTGTTTCTGCTTCAACTTCTGGGTTCTTCTGGAACAAATGGAGATGTTTTTTTGTCTTTTGTTATTTTTACTTCACTTCTCACTTATAACAGTGATGAAGCTAATATTATTGTTGTTAGCGTGTCTGCTTTTAAAATATAGTCTTTGCTGTTGCTTGTGTAAATGTAATTAATTCGAACTGCAATATACTTCAGTATAATTTTAAAAATACACCACACTTCTTATTATTCTACACTATAGTTACAAATACTTTTCTTAATTTTCAGTAATATTTTGTTATAATTTGCACCATTTACTCTGTTATCTTACTTTCAAGAGTCTAAATTGTAGTTGGACTAAAACTGGTCCAGATGACATAATTTAACCTTTTTTTGTTGTAGTTGGACTTCTTAATCTTCAGGATAACCTTTTTGTCATGTATTTATTTTATGTCTCACCTTTGTTATATTCCTGTTATTATCTGATCTCTTTTCAGGAACCACAAAATTTGATGGATGCAACCATGCCAGAGCCTACGAGTACTACACTGAAAGCATCAGTAAAGCTCAGGGCTTTGTTGGATTCCCTTGCTCTAACAAAGACAGTTTCTCTGCGGTAAGTTAACAATGATATATATATATATATATATATATATACACAAAAAGTTTACAGAAAAAATAAATTAGCTTCCATAGATTTACCATGAGTCAAACATACATTAATTCTTGTTAAATATTTTAAATGGGATTGTGTGAAGTTGTTTTGAGCAGTCAGTGTTTTATTTGCAGTAAACACCAGCTTGAGCAATCTTTGGCTAAATAATGAATAAATAAATAAAATGGGGAAATAAGATAAACATTAAGATCAGAAAAAAATGAAGTGTTTAATGCTGCCATCTGAAACAGCACAGGCTCAGCATGTTATTGTTGATAAAATATTCCACTGCAGATGCAGTCATAAATAAAAATATTTAATTTAATCAATATTTTATAAAAAAAATCACATTAAGTTTTGTAATAGCTGAGGCAACATATTAATGACAGCTACGTAGTTACTGATTCTAAAAAATATATACAATGCCATTTGCTTAACTAAAATATTACAATCCTTTTGGCAAAACAAAACAACAAAAAATAATAAAGGGCAAAGTGCTAGGAAAAAAGTTTAAAATATTTTTGCAACTACAACTATGTAACATTCTCTAAATTAATTACCAATTATTATTATTGTTATTAATTTAAGTTACCATTACGTGGCTTTTCATAAAACATGTTTTAAATGAGCTCACCTGACAAGGACATTCAGATCCCCAGACCTTTAGTTTCACAGTGAACCAAATGTTCTGAACTGGGTCAGAAATGGATTGTTTGTCTTTTATGAGTGCAGCCAATAAAACTCTCTGAATTTCTCAACATGTACAGCAGCTTCTTAAAGTCATTGTTCTGCACAGAATATCTCTAAACTGAATGAAAATGGACAGATTTGGTCTGTTCCATTACTGTTTTACTTGTATTAGCAAGCATCAGGTGAGCAGTGTGACTTCTCTGTGGTTTGTTCTAAACATCATGGAATCAACCTCTTGAAAAGACCTTGGGTCAAGTTCAAAGCTAGAACGGGACTAGATTGGTTCAGAAAAACAGGTCCCAGAAAGTCTATGATGACCTCAAAGCTACCGATGAACAAAGATTAGGATGGCGTCTCATGTCCTCATTTTTAAAAGTCAACCAGGACCTTTGGACTTGCTTAGACAAAAGAGGGGCTCGGTCAAGAAAGAGCCCACATCTTCACCATCCCAGCATGCACATGGGACTGCCACCTGTCGCTGCTGTATGACACTGATATGGCAAAACATGTCTTTGGTTTAAGAAAGCAATTCAGTAAGATTGGATTTTTTGTTGGGGCACATGGGGCGATGGAAATGGACTTCCCTCATGTTTTCCATGGGGAGTGCTTGTATCTGCAGCTGTTGGTGTTAATGGCAGTTGATCCCTGCTTTGGGCACATGTCCCGATCAAAGGAGGCCCGAGGAGTGCCAAGAATTACCTCATATGTCCCTGTTGAGGATGACAGCGCCTCCTTGTCATTCACCTCATAAACACTGTCTGCTGTTATTCCTACAGCTATTCCTATGGCAGACAGTGGAGCCGTTCCCACCGAGGAACTCAGTGGTTAAGCTAACACCATTTCCTGCCTTCATGTTTATAAGGTAGCAAACTGCAACATTTTGAAAGAGTCTTGCAGTGTGTTATCACTTTCTCACTGGCTGTTCATGGAGAGTCAGTCACCGGGTGAAAACACTCTTCACACTACACTGTGTCCTTGTCTTCACAGGGAAAGTGTTTCCCATGTGCTGAGAGCCTATGTCCTCTGATGGGTCACTCTGCTGACAAGCACACTTTGAGTGATGAGGTTTCAAAAACAAAGTACTTCCTCAACACCGGCAGGTCAAAGCCATTTGCACGTAAGTTCTCTGTTTTTGTTTTGTTTCCTTCCTACTTGTTGTTGGCCCAGAGTGAGGAACTGCTTTGGTTAGAAGCTGAACATGAGGACACATTGAGACCAACAAACTAATTCAAATGTTATGATCACCATGTTAAAAACGTGCAGCTTCATTTTCACCCTGCTTAATTTAAGACCAATAATTTTGCTTTAACACACACGCTTTGGATGTTGTCAGCCATTAAATGGCCGTTTTTAGTTGTTATCATCTCCATATGTAGCGGTCAGACTGCCCCTCCTGTACCTCCTAGTGGGTTTAAAGGTACGTTGTTAGCAATGATAACAGGCTCTGTTTTAGCTTGGTTAGCGCTCATAATAGCTTCATGTGATTAGTTTTAGAGTAAAGGGTCTGGCAGTTAGGTTTAGGTCTTGGTTAGGTTTAGGCACAAGGGTAAGGGGGTTAAGTTTAGGGTTGGTCCTCTGTGTCAGGTGTAAGCTTACGTTTAGGAAAAGGGTTACATAAGCTGGAAAAAAGCAAAAAAGACACTTCCTGGTTTACCCCCGTGCAACGCTGCCTATTATCAGCAATAATAATAACAACGTACCTTTAAACCTACTAGGAGGTAGGTGGGACGGTTTGACCGCTACATATGTGGATGATAACAACTTATAACGGCCATTTAATGGACTGATAACATCCGAAGCTGCTCTTTAACATAAATAAGACTTCACTTCAGCAATGTAATAAGATCTTATCACTGTCTCTCATCTTCCCGAGACTCTGACTATTTTACTGTATGCTATAACTGCTGTTTCTTTTTTTTTTTTTTTGTTGCAAACTTGGCGATACGTCCTTAGACATATTGTAAAAGACAAAAACTTGTTCCAGGTCAATATGTTCTTCTGCCAAAATGTATCAGTACAGCCTTTTCTTACCTCATACTCTTACTTTTGGCATACAAAAAGATGCAGTCCGTCACATAATTATTTGTTCTCACCTTCTCCCACATTGCACCCACTTGGACCATTTTGTACCCACCTTGTCATCACTTCCTACCCAGCTTGGCAGCAACCCAAACTTGTGTTTGATCTACCATGGCTGAAGTCTTGGATGCTTTCTAAATAATCTTAAATCTCAAGGCAAAGGAAATTTTAAAATGCAGTTCTATTCAAATCAGGCATTCAGCTTGATGGGCAGCATGAAGGCTTAGTGGTTAGCACTGTTTTCTCACAGCAAGAAGGTCCTGGGTTCAATCCCCACCTTGAACTTGATGTCTTTCTGTCTGGTAGTAGCATGTTCCTCTTGTGTTTGTGTGGGTTTTCTCCAAGTCTTCCCATTTCCTTCCACAGTCCAAAGATAGGCTGCCTTCAGGCCCAGGCCTCCCTTGCAAAAGATATCTGTGATCTATGTAAATGGGATTTCCTGGTTAAATAGACGTTAATAAGCTCAAAGTTTTAATTAATTAATAATATGACAATTTAATATGTTTGACTAAAAACATAAACAGGCAAAGTTGTATTTTCTTTTAAGTTTATATCAGTAGCGTTTACCTCATTACACTTCTGGTGTCGAGACTGTGCCACTTTATGCACCATCATCGTGTGGGAGTTCTGGTTTCTTTTCTGCCACTAACCATCTCCCACAGCTGCTGCACCAAGCTAATTGATGATCATCTCCACCTGCCGCCTGCTCTGGAGAATGGGTTCGGCTCCTTCCATAAAAGCTGCAGCCAGGCTCTTCTCCAGTGCTGGGACATTACCCTTTACATGGTAAAGTAATGGTCAGCCTGTTATTGTCTCCTGGCAATATTTATCTAACAAACTTCCACGCTTCGTTGTTCTTTCAGTTTCTTGACTTCCACGTCAAGATTCATCTCGGGCTCTCCAAGGCTTCAACACCAAGGCAGGAGCCTCCTATGGGATGTCCCTTCAAACACTCATCTACCTCCAACCCGCTCCTGCACTCTCTGTTCCTTGAGGCTCCAACAATCCAACAAAGGTACTCACCATCCTCTCCTCAAGACGTCCTCCGGAACCCAGAACCACACGGCGTGTCTCCCCAGCTCCAACATCAAGGCCGAACCTAGCTCCACTTCCGTTTCCCCTGCAAAGACAATAAAGAGGTTTATTTTTGTAACCCGGTTATCTGTCTGTGCTTCGGTTCTGCCATCTGGGGTCTATTTAGTGATCGAATCACGTCAGAATGTCCCAGCCAAACAGACCCTCAAGGCAGAACTGAGGACGGACAGACACAGCAGTCTATGTTAGCTGAAAGTAAACGTATTGATGAGCATGATGTCATTTTTCAACAATTTCTCTCTCAACAACAGGAGATTCAAACTAATCTCCAACAGCTCGGCGGCATGGTTCACTCTGTCCAGCAGAGTTTGAAGGACCTGGTTCCCCCGCTTAGGATGACCCAGACTCCGGGTCCATCTGGACCCCTGGCACCCGCGGTTCCACAGCCCCTTCGAGAACCAGACATTCGTCCCTCCGAGTGTTTCGAAGGTAAAGCCGAAAAATGCGCCGGATTTCTCCTTCAATGTGAGTTGGCCTTCAATAGAGCTCCTATAACCTACTCATCTGATGCCTCCCGTATTACTTTCATTATTTCCGCCCTAAAGGGTGAAGCTCTTCGATGGGCGCGTTCCTACTTACGTAGATGCACCATCGATTCCCTAACCATCTCCACTTTTCTCAGAGACTTTCGACAAGTATTCGACCTACCTCTGTTGCAGGAAGAAGCATCGCAAAAGATGTTTTCATTAAAACAAGGCGATAAAACTGTGGCTGAGTTTTCCATCCAGTTCCGCATTTTGGCGGAGGAATCTGACTGGGGTGAGACGGCTCTCCGAGGTGCGTTCATTCATGCACTAAACAAACCAATTAAGGATCAACTCGCCGTTCGTGACGTCCCATCCGACCTCAACCAGCTAATAACCTTAGCCACCAGAATCGATAATCGCTTCAGAGAGCACGTTTTTGAGGTGGACTACTTTCCCCGGGAGTATTTGGTTCCCAACATTAACTCACAGTCGACCCCTCCCGGCTCGGCGGGTCCCGAACCGATGCAGATCGGAAGGACTCGGCTGTCTCCGGAGGAGCGTCAGCGTCGTATCTCCCACAACGAATGCCTCTATTGTGGGAAGAAGGGGCACGAACTTCCTTCCTGCAGGCTTCGGCTAAAAGACAGAACCCATCAGTAGATCGGAGGATTCTGGTGGGTAAATACTATTCTTCCTCCGAGCATAATCTTTGTTTACCAGTGACCTTATGTGCCAATAATTCTAATTATTCTACACAGGCATTAATCGACTCCGGAGCTGAACAAAACTTAATCAGTCGGAACCTGGTCGAAAGACTCCAGATTTCTACCACTGCCCTCTACCCCACGATGGCAGTAGCAGCTCTCACAGGCCAGACCATCTCTTCCATCTCTTGCAAAACTAATAAAATAGAAATTGTTGTGTCAGGTAATCACCGTGAGAGAGATGAATTCTTTATCTTTGATTCACTTCAACCTCAAATTATCTTAGGTTTTCCGTGGTTGAAGAAACACAACCCCGTTATTAACTGGTATGATGGTAGGGTCGAAAAATGGGGAGATAACTGTTCTGAGAGATGCTTATCGTCCGCCGTCTCCCCTGGTGTTAGTAGAGAGGCAACCCAGGAGGAGGTTGACCTTTCTCAGGTTCCCAAGAGCTATCATAAGCTAGCACGAGTGTTTAGCAAACACCAGGCGCTTTCCTTACCTCCTCACAGACCATACGATTGTGCCATAGACCTTCTTCCTGGGGCACCTCTACCTTCTAGCAGGTTATTTAACCTGTCGGGCCCTGAGAGAGAGGCTATGACCCAATACATTAATGACTCATTAAAATCCGGCATCATTCGGCCATCCACCTCCCCTCTCGGAGCCGGGTTCTTCTTTGTTTCTAAGAAGGACAAGACTCTTAGGCCTTGCATTGATTTTAGAGGTCTTAATCTTATAACAGTAAAGAACAAATATCCATTACCATTAATGGATTCCATGTATGAACAACTTAGTGACGCTGTTATTTTTACAAAATTAGACCTCCGCAACGCCTATCACTTGGTTCGCATACGCAAGGGGGATGAGTGGAAAACCGCCTTTAAGACCCCCATAGGTCATTTTGAATATCTGGTAATGCCCTTTGGGTTGACAAACGCCCCTGCAGTCTTCCAGGCGTTGGTCAATGATGTTTTGAGGGATTTTCTTAACATCTTCGTCTTCGTCTATCTGGATGATATTTTGATATTTTCCAGGGACGAATAACAGCACCCTAAACACGTGCAGGCGGTTCTCCAGAGGCTTCTGGAGAATAACTTTGTAGTGAGACGCGTGAGGTACGTGTCACTTGTTGTATGACAAATATATGGATATATATTTATGCATACTTTTCACGAGTTCTTCATTTTTCTGACTGTAAATGCCGTGCATTGAATTTAACACAAAATGTAACGAGAGACGTTATTTATCTTTGACCCATCAAATGAATGGAATCATTTATTTTCAGAATCAAAGTTTAACATCAAACATTTACATTAATTTGGCAAAATATGAAAATAATAACAGACAGTTTCACAGAAAATGAACTTCAAATCACTCGGCGGTGATTTGAGGACTTTGCTTAAGATATTTCTAAAATATCTGTACTGATTTATGAGAGAGAGGTGGGTTTTAGAGTGAAAGGAGATTATCTTACAGAGAACTGTGTGAGGGAAGTTTAATCTGTTTAACCAGAAATTGCACGCTCCGTCAGATCCTCAGCCCGTCCACGGTACACTTTAGTCGAAGAAGAAGCCTTTACCTGGTTTGACGATAGATCAGCTCAGTAAGCATCCTTCAGACTGTTTCCAGCGCCTCCGTTAAGCACAGCTAAAAATCCTCGGAGAGTCGTGCGTGGTTAGCTCAAAACAGACTTATAATCCCAAACGTCCCTGGTTCTTCATAACTCCAAACTCTTCATAACCGGCTGCACTCTCAATCTGCTCATTCTG